ATCCTACAATTCCATTACGATCACCTGCAAAATTCCCAGATCCTTTTCCCCCATCCGGCCTGTGTATGCCAAGCAAAATGATGTTGCTGTACAAAGATGCTAAATTTCAACAACGCTGGATCTCTGAGAGGGCCTAGATGAGTTTACCTTAAATATATAGGAGAGTCGTACTATGGGTAATTTGAATGCGAAGATATACTCATGAGATAGAAGGTGCACGTTGGATGGCCTTGAATTTACCAAAACTATCAAACAACAGGTTCAAATGGATATCACTGTTAAATGGGAGAAAGTGAAAGAGAAAATACGGCATCTCACATCCAAAACAGAAATTTGGCATCCCATCCAGGTTTTTAATTGTTGCTGGCTTGGGGGAGATCAGGGAGGGCGAATGGGTCAGGTTGAGTGGAAAGGGGGACAAGCAAGAGATCAGGAGGAACTCCAAAGAAACTGCCGCCTGACCTTCAATGATTGGTCTGAAGTTGATCCTACAATTCCATTACGATCACCTGCAACATTCCCAGATCCTTGTCCCCCATCTGGCCTGTGTATGGTTCCCAGGTCATGGTATGGGTACGAATGAAACTGTTATCAAATCTAGTCAGGCTAAGGTTCAGGAAGCAGATTTGATGAAAATGAGACTGTGTTATGGTCAGTTGATTTTCTGGCGCCCTACTGACGGTGAAGAGGCACAGTAATTTCTCGTCTCAAGTCTGTTCATGCATGGTTCTTTAAAAAAATATATTCCAAATGATGTATTCAATAGGATGCTGGACCCGTTTTCCATCAGGTGCAGCTCCCCACTAATAGATGAAGCATTTGTTTGAAAAAAAAAAAAAGGCCTTACCGGGTTCCCGCCACTAGGAAGTGATGATTTGAGTTTCACAAAACACCGAAATTGGGGCCAGTTATGTCAGCCATGCCGCCTGGATCACCTTGTTTCCCGGGTGGCCTGGCCGTGCGAGGACCAAAGAAGGTCAGAAAAAAATAAAAAACTAAATCTGAAGACATATAATGTTATGCATAAAAATAAACTAAACAACTTTTGGCCCGGCCAGGCAAGTGGTCCCGGGCCACTCTGGTAACCTAGCCAAAGAGTAATGTTAATAATTTCTTATAGGAATTCACTCCCACGTACCTGCAAGAACTTTGACTTCGAAAGTACTTTTTGCAATTTGATCCGATCCTATCCAATCCGATCGGATCCGATTTTCGTTTTAATATGGGTAATTAAATACAGGAATTCGCTCCCACGTACCTGCTATAACTTTGACTTGGAAAGTGCTGTCTGCAATTGGCTGACCGTTGTAAGTCACCTTAAATGTGTGTTCTGTTGCTCTCGGGGAGGAGAAGATGAAGGAATATGCCATCCCATCACTTTGTGCGAATGGTGTGAACACAGTTGACGAAGTGCTTGACAGTACCTGGACTTGCAGACCTGTCCCTCCATTTGGCACAACGTTGCCAAACTTGTCCCTCGGGAAGATCACTAAGGTGTCATTGCTGCCGGCGACAATCTGTGACGGGGTCCATTTGGCTGTGCACTTTGCAGCAACAACCTCAGCTGCACATGGAGCACAAACACACACACACAGACAGGGCGGGGGGAGGGAGAGAGAGAGAGAGAGAGAGAGAGAGAGAGAGAGAGAGAGAGAGAGAGAGAGAGAGAGAGAGAGAGAGAGNAAAAAACAAAACAAAAAAAAGAACAGAGAGAGAGAGAGAGAGAGAGAGAGAGAGAGAGAGAGAGAGAGAGAGAGAGAGAGAGTACTGTAATCAGTGTACCATTACAAAAAAAAAGAAAATCAATGGAGGATGGAGGAAGATAGAACAAGGCAAAAAATAAAAATGATGTTTGAGAAAAAAGCCGAACTTGGTGAATGGCAAGTAGCTCAGTGGGTGGAGGACTGGTTGGAAATGTGCATTGTGGTATAAGGTTGCGGGTTCAAAAGTCCACAGCCTTGCACATGGACATCGGCCGGCGTTGACCAACGCACGGCCATTCACACACTCCCTTTGGGCGGACGCATGGTAATTATTACAGACACTGCCTGTGCACCACCCAAGGGGTTTAGTCCATGGTTGTAGTATGCTGGTCACGGGCCTTGGGGGAGGGCTGTTTGAGTGGTTGGCCTTGGGGTGGTCCGATGAGGGTGTGTGTGTGTGTGTGTGTGTGTGTGTTGTGTGTGGTGTGTTGTCCAATGATCTCTGGGTCATTTCTCGTGTACTCACCATGGGTGAGGTAGAGGAGTTAGGTTGGGTAGAGGTCTTAGGTCTAGATTAGGTTAGGTAGGAATTTGTGTAGAGATTGTGTGCCTGTCTGTGTGCGCCGCCTCTTTCGTATGCGCTGCTCTGTGGGTGTGTTACAGGTGTGTCTGGGTGCCGTAGTAGTCTCCTGCCCTCATGCTACACCCCCGAGAGTCCATACATTGTACAATCCTGGTCCCGGTACGGCTCCGCTCTCTACATCCCCCTTGAGTAGTGGTAAAGGCTGGGTGTTAGGCATATACGATTCCCAAGGCATGCCTCATGTCTATCTTACGATGCTTGCGGGCTGGGCTTATCCAGGCCGGTACCTGTCTGGGTGCCCATTGAGGGGAGTCTATTGGGGCATGAATCTGGGGAAGGGTCTCTGGGTAGGGGTCTCATCTTAGGCAGGGGAGGATGGATAGCATTGATAGTGGAAGGGTGCTAGACACCCATTGCTAGATGTGATACAGGTGGGGAATGATCACATATCTATGACCGCTCCTGTGTCCAGGTCATCCTCGAGGATTCGGGGTGTCCCTATGGTAGCGCCTGGGGGACACTCTTCTGAGACCCTCACAAGAAGCGGGTTGGTGTAGGTCTAGGTCTAGATACAGGTTTGGGTCACACCGCCGTAGGGCTCGACTTGCGATCTGATAAGGACAACAGAAAGTTCAAGAATGATGCCCCCCTGGAGGAGACCTTCCTTGGGGCTGTCACAAGCCATCTGATCTCCCCACTGGTCGAGTACAATGACAGGCACCTACCGAGGCCTAGCATCCAGCCTCTACTACGATCTGGACATTAAAAAAAAAAACAAAAAAAGCAAAAAAAAAGCTGAACTGGATAGCCCTGATCGGTATTAGCGGGGTCTATGACCAACACGGGTGTGAGTGTGAGCGCGAGTGGGTTGTGTGTGGTCTGTGGGAGAGTGTTGGCCATAGCCTCTGCTGCTACTCGATGAAGGGTGGGGGACGATGAGAAAGGGAGGCACAGCTACTGGCAGGTCTCGGTCTTTGTGTTAGCCAGACCCCCACTGGCGGCCCCAACCCTATACCCTAACCATTAGGGGCAAGGGGCAACATGAAATCTCCCCTTCACAGAGAGAGGAAAACTATGCTTGCAGGGGTCCCCTCTAGATAGTCTTAGGAGTAGGTAATGGAAGGTAAAAGAAACAGAAGTTGAGAGAAGAGTGTGGAAAGAACAGAAAAAAAAAAAATAAAAAAAAATTGAGTTTTTTTGTTTGTTTGTTCTTTTCTTCAAGTAAATAGTGCTACCTTGGATATTTTCGGGTTTTTGGATGTATCTGTCCGCATTCCCAACCAGTTTTCGGAGGTTTCCAGCTACTCATTTCTGCAGGACGAATGGATCTACCTGTACTTGTAACTAGTTTCGGCTGTGTTTTCCCGCCAGTAAGGGCTTTATCACCGATTTTCCGTGTCTGTTCAGTCTGAGCTGATGTGTGCCTTTGAGGTACCAGGACCTATACACTTTTCCGATGTACCCGGCAGTGATTTGTGGCCCGGTGCGTAGCTTTTACTTTCCCAACGGTTAGTGGGACCTTTCGGAATCGGGGCTCTGGGTTCGTCTTTCTGGTCGAGTACTCCGGGGGACACTATATACTGCTGGCTTGCTCCGTTCATACTCTCTCGTCTTTTCGTCCAGCAGCCGGTGACACTTACATCGTCGACCTGGCACCTATGTGCATCCTGCGCATGCGGTGCTTGTACGACGGCGTATTGACAACCTAAAGTGTGGATCGGTACATTGCGCTCTGTCTTCTTGGGGCATGGACTTTGTGAAGCCAGTGCCCCACCCTGGAGCTGAAGAACGGTAGCTGGGCAAAGGAGTTCGGTCGTTTGTTTTCCTTTGTGTGGTTGGCTGTGTTTCGTCCGGGCTGTGCAGGTTTTTCAAGTACCTCCCAACTGTTTGCACGTCCTGCTGAAATGACAGTACTGTTGCTTCGAGAACCTTCTGTCCTCGTATACTTTGTTGGTATACTTCAGTTCGGCACATATATGGCAGTGCAATTTTGAGAGTCGTGTGCTAGGATCTGTATGGCCGAGGTATGGCATAGAATAGGCGTAGGATGGAGTATAAAAGAGGCAAGGGATCAGGTATGGCCTCAAGTAGCGATCATGAGATATTTTTGTTCCTCCTGAAGAGTCTGCTGATGTGGGGTAGACAAAACGTGTCGAGGATGATGGTTGATGTTTTTGCTCTTGGAACGAGTTCTCTCAATTACTGGTTCCTTTGATGGAATTCGAACTTGGTCTCATGTTTGCTGTGCATAATGGAGTGGCGTCTGATTGGTGTATTCCTTTATCTCCGTTCTCATGCTGTGACTGTCTTTGCCGGACAGTTTCCCTCTTTCCCTTTTCTTCAAGTCAAGCTCAGGTTGTTTCAGAGAGATCCGGGGATATCTTGGGGCGGATATCTTACATCTGGGGGTTGCTGTCGGGATGATGCAGGCTGGAGCTGGGACGAGGTGTGTTGCCCTGTAACCTAACGCGTTTGGGGTGCGGGGCCTGGAAGAGCTTGGCAGGGAAAAGGACAGTTTTTGGTGGGCTTTGATTGGATCTGCTTTAGATAGCCTCTCGGTTCTGGGGAATTCGGACAATGGACAGGGACAGCAGGCGGTGTTCTGTGTTTTCAAAGTTAATTCAATAGGACCTGCAGTCTTGTCAAATCCTGTCCTTAAATCCAATAGAAGTTCGTGATCATGCAGGAGATGCTTAGCCGAAGCTGGGTAATTGCGCCAGTGTCTCAATTTACTCTATATTTGTTCTCATATGGGACGCTGGACCTGGCTCCCAGCACGTGGGAGCAAAAACAAATTCACTGCACAGTTCATAATTCGCAGAAATAACAGTCCACTGCAAGACTGGGCCGTGAACAGTTCAAAACAGCAAGAAAAACAGTAAACTATGCTTTCCACAGCCTACCTGTTCATAATTGGCAAAAACGGGAGGTGGCCTGGGCTAGTGGTACCTCCCTTTATCCCGTGGCCTGGCCTGGGAGCAGGTACAGGTAGCAGGCCCTCCAATTTTTTTTGGTTTGGCTTCTGGCGGGAATGGGTTCGGGGTGGAAAACGATCCCACTTGTCAGTACACGAAAAGCCACCGACCGCGCCACGTGCCCCGTTAACACCCGCCCCATTCTCTCTCTCTCTCTCTCTCTCTCTCTCTCTCTCTCTCTCTCTCTCTCTCTCTCT